ATTTTAATATGGAAATTACTTCTTGGAACTGATTTTAATATGAAGCAGGGATAGGTTATGCATAGGTATAGGTGTATTGGTAAATCTAATGCATATGTAATACTTGATTGTATAAGTTGAAGAGACAAGTTGCTGCTGGGTGCACACGACTTCGGTAGGGCTATCCCACCACCCCGTGCCGCCTGGCACCAAATAAACATACCTACTTTACAATCTTACAGATTGTGGAGTCTGCTTTCCGCATGTCACCCTGTGTATCCAAGGCAGTTATAGGACTGGCAAAGGAGAAAGAAGTGTGCAGTGAACATTGACACTGCTTGGAATACCATGTGAACCCTGCTCCATATTACATGCTTGGAAACAGGGAGCAGGTGGCAAGGCTGGGCTTAGAGCAATGCGTGCATTTAGAACTCAAACCTGCAGGAGCTGGTTTGCTGCCAGCCCCACAGGCCAATGTTGAAAGCACTTGGTGACTGCAGACCAGCCTGTTAGTGTCAGCATATGTCACTATATGCAATCTATAGATTCAAAGCTTCTAGCCTAGTGCTGTATTCAAGGTAAAAATGTTACAAATCTGACGACTTTAAAATAAGCTGTTATAAAAACCTGAAACACTGAATTAGGAAAGAGAAAATAGTGATAAATGGAAATATGCTATAAAGATTTCCCCATAAACCCACAGAGCCGCTTTTGTCACAGTCAAGATTGTGTCACATACATGAAGCCTGCAAAAAAAGTAAGGACAGCTGGGATACCCAAAGCATCCCAGCAAAGGAGATAAAGCCCATCATCTCAGTAGCAAATGTAAGGGATGATGCATTGCTCCTTGGTCACTCTGCAGCACCCAGATCACTGTCTGAGTCTAAACGGTCTTTCATGCTCCCCTGTATGCAGCATCGGCAAACCTGAGGCATAACACAGCTTGGAGCAAGGCATGTTCTCCTTACGAAATACTTGTCACTAAAGTCCTTCCTGCAAAGTCTATTTCCCAGGCAGTGTGTTCAAGACAGTAGCTGGATTAAGGGTTATGGCTTTATTTGCTTCAATGTTAAACTGTATCATCTGTAAACGGAGAATTTCACTGAGTGGAGCAGGGATAATTAGCTATATCAGAGGAATAAGCCATTAGCTCAAGCAGTGTTGGCGGAACCAGAAATTAAACTCTGTGCTTCATTTAGAAGGAAACCTAGTGTTTATTATAATCAGCTTTTGGTTGCCTGTGGCTGCAGGGAGAGTGGAAAGGCAGCCTTCCTTCAACCCCTGCCCAGGGACAAAGGAATACTGCCGCTGCTTGTAAGTAAACAACATTTGTTCCCCAGTTGTCTGTTGCTCGGCAACCAAAGCTCCCTGTACAGTTTTAACCTATCGATGAGTCCTGCAAATGAGGAGACAAAATGATGCTCTCTTCAAAGCCTGTCTGAAGCTTCATCCCCATAGCAACCACCAGACCCAGCTTGACAAATTGATCACCTGATGCTGTCTTCTTGAAAGGCTGCTTATTTCTTTATGGTTGTGTGCTCTCTGAGCAGTAGCGTTCACACACAGAAAGGCAGTTCTGTCCCCAGCTTCAGTTTAACTGGCTCACATTAATACAAATTAAATAAAGACACAGAATTGACAGCAGGCTTGATACAAAATCCCAAGGGAAGCCTCCTGATGGGATCAGAAGCCTAGAGAATAGCTTTGCCCTTTCCACTACTGAAAGGGTGTATCAAACTCCTTTTTGAGAAATCAGAGCCGTTCCTAGATTATATTCAGAAATCCACTCCATCCCACATTTCTTCTGTCTCTGTAATGAAGTAATTTCTTAAAACACTGCAGTGTTTTGGATATGACATTTCCCAAAAGACACAAGCAAGAGGAACAAAATTTTCAGGAGTAAGTGACATTCCTAGACCCACAGAGAACTAAAAATATAGCTAGGCTTCCCTCCCTCTCCACCCCCTGAAAACACTCATCAGCTTCATTTACTTTATGACACTACTGAGTGTCCAGCACTACTGAAAAACTGGTTCTATCTTTAGCTGCCCAAATCTAGATTAAAAGAAGTTAATTTATTAGAGCCATGCTGAAAAACCATGGCCTGAACTCTGCATTACAAGCTGGGGATATGCTTACATGGCTGTGCTTCTTTGTCAATCTGTTCCTTTGGGCCAGCATTCCAAAGCAAGCTAATCAGCACGATGCAGAGAAGGCATAATGAAGGCAATGGAGAAAGGCTTGCAAAAATCCTTTGCTAAAGGCAAAGAAAATTTGCTCAGAGGAAGCCAGAAAAGATACCCGCTGCCTGAGGCTGAATCTAACTAAGGAGGGGTCAAACCTGCACGTTATCTTTTAGTGTCTTTAATCTTAAGAAACCAACATACTAGAAAAAGACCAAAGAAACTGCCCCAACAGGCCAGTTAGAGATTTCTCCAATGAAAATGGCATTGAATATCAAGTGTCACCACCTTCTTCATGACCTAGAACTGTGATTTGTTGAATTAAGAGTTTAAGATAAACATCCAGCACCCTTGGTGTTTTCAGACAACAGCAGATTCAAGATAAAGGACTTCTGTGACCTCCACCATTGAGTCACATCAGTCTAACTTTCTGCTATAGGGGTTTGTACCTGGGATGTGTGGTACCTCTCTCCTGAGAGGTCTGGGAGGATACGCTTCCATCCAAGGAATTTCCACGGTGACATGCTGAAACAATGGCCTTTGAAGGTACAGAATCTGGCTGGGTTGTCTCACAGACCACCTGTAGTCCCTTTGGACAGTTTTAATAAAAGGAAATAGGTATATAAACGTACTTATCTCTCCCATATTAGTTTTCTCATTGCAATTTGTGCTTAGACATGACTATTATTTATACCATAATACAACGGTAATACCACGGAGAAACTGATCATGCCTAGGGCTTCTCAGTAGCAAGCATTGTACAGGAAAAGGGTAAAACAGGGCTCTTGCCCAAGAAAATACATAAGATCAGGCATAAGGCCAAGGAGATCCTGACAAGTACACTCAATACCCTTTGGTTCCACTGCAGACAAGGCTGGGAGCCTTCAGAAGAACTGTGAAGAACTGTAATTTCTGGAGATGGAATACTTTGGGGTGGTAACTTCAAGTGCTGTTTCAGTATTAATTTTCCCCCTCCCTCAGCTCCTTATTCAAGCTTGTCTTACCTTAGCATAGAACTTACCTCGGTATGTCCACTGTCCAGATTAGGGGATTCACATGTCACGCTCTCATTGTTGGTGGGAGAACTTCTCTTGGCTGAGAAAAGAAGTCAAAGGAGGACATTTCAGGAACTACCTCTAATATTAAAACGTACCGACAAAAGGATAAACCAGAAAACAAAACCAAACCCAAAGCATCTCTCTGCTGCAGACTTAATGCAGACTGCATTCCCCCCAGCCATAAAAAGAAAAAATGACTGTTTTAATTTTTGCACAACTCTTTCAATTGTGTTGTCAACAACACTGTCTACTGAAAATCTCTATTTCTTTAATATTAAGTTTGAATATAAATTTTATCCTAAATCCATTTGGCATCAAATCGTGTTTTCCTGTGCATGCTAGTGCCTTTTATTTTGGAGCATTTCCTTCTCCTATTTTCACATATATTCATCTCCTTTTCTAGGTTACATCTCTAAACATGCGTTATGATTTCCAATTTGACAAATGCCTTCATCACAGGAAACATACGAATGTCATACAGAAAGTTTGATCAGCAATACTGTAGAAGAACAAGGGCATCAAAAAGACTAAGATGACAATTCTTCAAATCCTGTCACACCGCAAGCTATTCAGATGTGACTTAGTATCAGACTGATTCTGAACAAAACATTGCAAAGCTTATTCAGTAGAATTTTTTTAAATGTGTTGTTTGAAGGAAAATTTAAGTAAATTTAACTTTTTTGTCCCAATTTGAGACAACAATGCTAAGATAGCAGAATGGTGATATAAAGAACTCATTCGAATTTCTATTTCCATTCTGCTGACAACATTTTCAAAACTTAACAGGGTATTTTCATTTCAGACTTTACTCCTGAAGTTATTCTTTAGGGATTTTCTGGACACACTTCAGACCTATGGAAAAAATTCCAACAGTCAAAGAAAACTTAGGACTAATTCCTTCTGTTCGTTCCAGGGTTGAAATCCTATTTGTGAATTCCAGAAGATGAAGCAGAGGGAGGAAGCACTAGATGTCAAAGATGGTTTTAAATCATTTGAAAGACTTGAATCTTTTCAATTCTGGACTGTCCCAGGGGTCTACAAAGCCTTCAGAACAAAATATGACATCCGAAATGACTTGTCATCAGAAAAATCTGATTTAGTGAACTACATTTTCACTACTGTGAAAATTACAGTTCTGTGCTTTTGAGAATGAGCAAGCAAAGCTACAGCAATATACCCAGCAGACTTTCAATTCACTGCCTTGCAGGAATTGTGCAAAACTATTGTCTAGAAACATAAATGTAAAAAAAGTTTTTTAGAACTAGGCCAGACACAAAGGTCTGGAAGCCTAAGCACCCAACTCCAGTCTCCTTATGGCTGAAGTACAAAGGCGGAGCAAACCCCTACAGTATGCAAAAGTGAATTCACAGCGTAAGCCTTCTTTGGAGCCTCTTGAAACTACTTCGTTTAATTTCATACCATAGCAAAATTAAAATTTTAAATAGAAGGACAACCTACACTGCCAACAGTGTTCTCTTCATTGTTAATTTTTGTCTTTTGCCAGTCTGGGAAAGCCTTCCCCAGCCGTGTCAGGTGCCTGCGAGATACTGCCTTTGCCCTTCTTAGCAACTAAGGAAGATACAGTGAAACAGAGATATGAGGCTGACAGGAAATAATAATTCTACTGAAGAGTTTCTCATTTCCTGTTTGTGATTTCTCTCATCTCCTGTTTAATTCTTATGCAAATGTCAGTTGACTCTGAGGGGAAACAATCTTAAACTACTCTCAAAGGTTTGACTAGTTCCCGCAAGATTAACATACTCCTTCAAATATGATGGCTACAGTATGTAAGGCAGCATCAGGCAAAAAAAGGAAAGATTTCCCAGTTCTACGGAGCTACATTACCACTGCGAAGTCACAGACCTGTAACGATGTTCCTGATTGGTTTTACCAGGGCGTTAAAAGCAGAAACTTCAGGTTGCCTGTGTTCCCACATAGGCTGCCAAATAACAAGGCCGCTAGCCAACCGAAATGTCAGGTCAGACTCCTAGAAAGACAAACAGAGTTTGTATCACAGAAGCTCACACAAAAGAATGTTGTTTCCAGTCTAAAAGGTTTGTCATTTCTCCGAAGCACAGATCTTACAAGAGAGGAGTGATACCATGTGCAGTTCTGTGGTCAGAATACGCTAACCCAAGGGTCACTGACACTACTCAGCAGACATTAATACATTTTAAGTATAGCCATTAAAAAATAATAGGGACATCTCAATACAAAAACCTAGAATAGGCTTTTCCAAATGAAATTTCTATAGTAGTTAATGAACCCCATTTTTTCCAGGACATTAAGCTGTAAAATGAAAGGCCATTCCTGCATCAGAAAGCATCCCTTCTGACCACTCATAACTACTTCATATTTAGTATGCAATCTCAACCTTAAGATTTACACTCCGAGACTTGAGTTTCTATCCCCAAAAGAACACTAAATATTATAACATCACTTAGAAATTGAGGAAATGTGAAATGTTACAAACTACTATGAAACAGCAGTATAAAATAAAGTTATTATTATTAGCACTGTTAGTACATGACAACCTGTCAATATAGAGACATTGGTACTACTTACGCTTGTGCCATCATTGTTATACACGTGCAAGTAGCCGAAAAAATGTATAGTACACAAGTAAATCCTAGCAAGATCAAGGTGCAGGTATGCACTTACTTGACCTAAGGTCAGATCTACATTAGGAGGCACTGATGCTGGTATAGTCCAGCTATCACCCACAAGGCAAACAAACATGGTAACAGCAGTTTTGGCAGCATAATTACAGCTGTACCACCATAGAATCACAGAATCACAGAATAGTAGGGGTTGGAAGGGACCTCTGTGGGTCATCTAGTCCAACCCTCCTGCTGA